CTTTGGTAGGTCGCCCCGACATTCTTGAGTCCGAAGGACATAGTGGTATAGCAATATGCACCAAAAGGCGTGATGAACAACGTCTTGATCTAGTCGTCCTCTTTCAGGGATATCTGGTGATAGCCGAAGTAATAGTCAATGAAGGAGAGCAGTTCGTAGCCGGCGGTAGAGTCTACAACCTCATCTATCTAAGGCAGACCGAAGGAGTCTTTAGGGCAGTGTTTGTTGAGATCAACGCACAGTCTTCATTCTTTATTCTTTTTTTGAATAAGAACAGGGTTTGCCAACCACTCAGGATGATACACTTCTTTAATAAATCCGATAGCTAGTAGCCATTTTATTTCTACCCTAATAGCCTCCTTCTTGTCTAACGTGAATCATTGGAGTTTCTGCTTGATCGGTTTGGCGGTCGGCGAGACATTCAAGGAGTGCTCAATCTTCTCCCGTGGTACCCCCGGCATGTCTGTAGGTTTCCTAGCAAACACATTGGCGTTAGCACGTAGGAAGGAGACGAGCATGCTTTCCTATTTGGGGTCGAGGTGAGCCCCAATTTCCACAGTCTTGGTGGGGTCGTCGAGGCCAAGGCTGACCTCCTTTGTTTCCTTGGACTTGGCGGAGGCATGTGGATGCTCCAGTGCTGGGATGTCCAGGTCATCGGTGGGCATCATCTTGGTGTTGGTGACCACGCTAGCCATCTGAATGGAGAGGTCAGTGGCTTTGGCGAGGGCGAGACTCTTTGTCTCGCAGGTGTAGGCGATGGAGAGGTTGACCCATAGGGCCAAAACTCCTATAGGCGACAACATCTTCAACACCAGATAGGTGTAGTGTGGTATGGCCATGAACTTGGCCAGAGCTGGCCGACCAAGTATGGCGTGGTAGGTGGTGTTGAAGTCGGCGGCGTAGAAGCTGATGTGCTCGACGCGGTAGTTGCTAGCCATGTCGAACTGTACTGGGAGGGTGATCTCTCCAAGCGGTTTGGATGTCCCTGCCAGGTACCACACCCTAGAAGGAGGAGTCGAAGGGTGTGAGGTCCCCTATTCCAAGGCCTAGCTCCTTTAGGGTTCCAGCAAAGAGGAGGTTTAGAGCACTTCCATCGTCGATGAGTACTTTCCTAAAAAGCACTTTCCTAACGGTTGCATCAAGAACGAGGGGGGAACGCCCTATGTAAGGGATGTCCACCCACTGGCCAGCCTTGCTGAAGGTGATGGGGACCTCATACCAGGGGCGATAGCTAGGGTTGGCGATGGTGTCTTCTATGTTGACGGCGAGCACCCAGCGGGCGGTGAGCTTCCGATCTCTTCTGCTCTCGGTGGCGGTGAGGCCCCCAAAGATAGTGGCAACCACTTTTTCATGATCCTAAAAGGCATTGTTGTTGTCCTTAGGTGGTTGGCGGCCTCTAGCTCCGTCGTTGTTGTCGTCGTCCGACTTTTTTGCCTAGAACTCCTTAGCTAAGCTGAGGTAGTCCTTCATCTTGTGCTTGTTGTTCTTGTGGAGGGGGCATGGGCCTTTGAGGATATTCTTGTATTTCTTGTCGTAGTTGCGCTTGGCGCGAGGTTCATCAACGGCGGCGATGATGTGGTCTGGTTGGCGACGGTGATACTGACGAGATTTGGACCCTTCTGGCCGATCACGGCCACTGTCCTAATGGTGACTGCGGTCATCGTAGCGGCGATCGCTGTGGCGTCGGTTGTCGGGACACTCGTCGATGTAGTGAGTTGGCCGATGAGTGCCCGCATCATCGTTGAAGCGCACTTCGGCCTCTTCAGCGTCGGCGTACTGATCGGCGGTCGTAATCATCTCACCGATCCCCTTTGGCGGCTTGCGATTGAACTTAGAGCAGAGGTCACGGTGATGGAGTCCTCGAACAAAGGCGGTGATGACCTCAGCTTCCGTGATGTTGGGAATAGAATTCCTCATCTCGGAGAAGCGTCTGATGTAGCTACGGAGGAGCTCGGATAGTTTCTGATAGATGCGATTCAGATCATGCTTGGTACCCGGCCGAGTACACGTAGCCATATAGTTGTCGGTGAAGACCTTCTTCAGCTCTTCCCAGGATCCAATGGAGTCTGGGGCGAGGCTTGTGAACCAGTTCATCGCAATTGGCGTGAGCATGATGGGAAGATAGTTCATCATGACACTAGTATCTCCTCCGGCGGCATGCACAGTAGTGGTATAAGCGTGTAGCCACTGTGTGGGGTTCATTCGTCCCTCGTAGGGCTTGACCCTAGTGATTTTGAAACCACAGAGCCACTGAAGTGTTCAGAGTGCCCTCGTAAATGCTCGGGGCCCTTCGAGATCGTCGCCGTCGTGATCTGCGGCGTTGCCAGCGTTGAGTGGATGGAGGGCTGAGTCCGAATTATCGAACTCTTGCTCGTATTCTTGACATCGGCATACTTCTTTTTCATGGCGAGAGAAATGACGCCCGTCAATGTGACGTCGTGCGTCCCGAAGATTGTTGATGTGCACACGGATGTCTTGGTCGACTTCTTGGTCATGTTGGCAAGGGTAGTCGATGTGGTTCCCCCGAGCTCCGCCCTGGAGAGGTTGTCGATCATCGTGGTGCTAGTCGGCGAAATGACTTCGGCTGGGGTGGCGATTGGATCTTGGCACGACGGATCGACAAATTGAGCTCGTCGAGTAGGAAGGTCTCTGATCCTAGCGGATCTTGTTGACCTGGCAGTGTGCTGCTTTGAGCATGGCGGTGACCTTGGCGACCTCTGGTGTTTGCTCGAGCCAGGCGAGCTCATTAGCGGTCATGGCCAAGTTGGCGGTTGGAGTCTTGTAGATGTCGTGGCCGTCAACACGGACAAATTCGTCGTCGAGGTTGCATTGGAGTGGGCGTGGCCTCCCTTGTGAGTTGAGCTATTCATTGCGAGCAGCTTCGGCTAGCACAATGGCGGCCTCATTTGCTCGGCGCTGCGCACGGTTGGCGTTCCTGTTGACACGAGCGGCGCGGTCCTCGTCGGTTTCTCCATCCCATGGAGGGCTGTTGACACTGACGTTAAAAATCCCACCTCCTCGGAAGGGTGGGAAAGGAGGTTGAACAGCGGTGGTTTCGGCGATAGTCTCTGTAGAGCCCTAGGACTCAGAGTCTGGGTTTTCCTCTAGGATGGTCTGGAGGGATGCTTTGGGCGTTGGCTGATGTGCAGCATGTTCACAGTCGGCGGGAGCTGGTCGACGATCTGGTCGGCGAGAGGATAGATGTCTCCCGCCCGGTCGACGAACTTGCCTCTTAGGGCATCTTGATAGGTGGCGGCGACGCTGGTGAGCCCAAAGGGTAGGGCCGTAGCCCCTGGAGTTTCCTGATCAGCCTTCGATAGATTTGAATCGGAGGGTGGTCGGCGCTGAACCAGAGTGGTCAGAGCCGATTCTACAATGGAGAGGCAATCGACAGCTTCTGGCCAACCTGATCGATGGATGCGATCAGATCGTCATTGTTGATCCGCCTTCTCGGGTAGCGGGGGAGCGGCCGGCGAATTGTTGGTGAAGACGACCTCGGAGGCGGTTCCGAGATCAGATCTGTAGTCGCAGGTGTTGGGGGGATCGGGGCAGAATCGATCTGCACCGGCTCGATGAGCTCTCCGTCTCCGTCAGCGTTGATGACCCAGGAGATCGATCCGACCGTGAAGATCTTGCCGGGCTGTGGGAGGGATGAAGAGCCTGCAAAACGTACCATCTTGTTCGACATGGAAACAGCACGCACACCCCTACCTGGCGCGCCAACTGTCGACATAATATCGTCGGCAGTCCTCCGAGGGGTATCCCACGAAGGTAGATTGATCGGCAGAGGTGCGTATAATCAAGAACAAGAATGCAGCAGAGACACAAGAGTTAGACATGTTCGGGCCATCAGCGCGACGTAATACCCTACTCCCGTGGTTTGTTGGATTGTATTGGCTTCGTATGATATTGCGTGTGTTTGGAGGGGGTCCCTGTCCGCCTTATGTAGTCCGGGGAATAGGGTTACAAGTCGGTTAGATTTAGGAGATAACCGAAAAGTAATAACAGATTATAGGAATCATGGGATCGAACGTATTCTAACAGATCTCGTAGTATCTTCAGGATATCTTCCCGGTGTCTTTCAGGGCACGTCGAGCAGCGCCGTGCTCCACAAGGCTTCCTCTTGTGGGCTGGACCGCCCCTGGGAGCGCAACTCATGTAGTTTGGCGTGGGTATCTGGGGTCGTACCCCCACAACGTGAGAATCAGGAAAAAAAAGGAATGTACATGGCAAGTTGGCAACAAATAGGCGGCACCTGCGTTGTGACGTGGCCGGAAACTTTTGACAGAGCCCTGTTTAGGCCTTGTTTAGATGCCATCCAAATTCCAATTTTTTTCACTCTCTCTCCATCACATCAATATTTAGCCGCTTGCATGGAGTATTAAATGTAGGTAAAAAATAACTAATTACACAGTTTAGTTGGAAATCACGAGATGAATCTTTTGAGCCTAGTTGGTCCACAATTGGACAATATTTGTCCAATAAAACGAAAGTGGTACTATTTATCGGGTTGAAAAAATTTGCAAAGAGAATAAGGCCTTAGTTCCACCAAATTCCCAACTTTGACACTATGCAAAAAGAAGATTCTCCGTCACATCAAACTTGCGGTATATGCATGGAGTACTAAATATTGACGAAATCAAAAACTAATTGCACAGTTTGGTTGTACTTTGCGAGACGAACATTTTGAGCTTAATTAGTCAACGATTGGACAACTATTACCAAATAAAAACAAAATGACACTGTAGTAGCTGTTGACAGTGCGTTTGACGGCGCCAATTCGGCCCAGCTAAACGTGGCCCAGATTATAAAGGCGGCACAGATGTTCCAAAAATTGCCAGCGAGTGCTGAGTCTGTCATGTTGGAGTTGGGTTGGAGCAACCCCACACGGCTTCGTCACCACACCCAGGCCCAATCCCATACCCACACCGAACCTGCTTCTTCTCCGATAGCTTTTCTTTGCTTTCCTCTACAATCTTCCCGGGTTTCCCTGACTAAAGATGGCTGAATCCTTTGTTCTCAATACTGGCGCGAGGATCCCATCAGTTGGCCTTGGCGTATGGCAAATACAACCTGACGCTGCTGTCAACGCCATCTACGCTGCTGTCAAGGTCAGGATTAGGATAAGATATATCCTTTGTTATGCCTTGGGCCTGTATTCTGTAGATTATACTCTTATTGGACAACCTTATGTCCAATTGTTTCCCCCAAAAAAATCTTATGTCCAATTAGAAATTTCTGTTGATGTAGCCTCAGTACAAACGAACTAGTAAAACTGGCTTGTCCTTGAAGCGTTCATATGCTCCATGGGATCGTAATGTTAATTTAAATATACAAGAATGCATGCGCAACGGAATTTATTCTGCGCAGCTGATGTTGTTCTGTCATCCTATCGTCGACCTGATGGATGTTTTACTTCCTGCTACACTTATGCTTTCTTTTCTGGTTGTTCTGTACTTTCAGTAGGCTAAGAAGCTCTTAGTTGCTGCTGAGAATTACTCTGGTTAAGTTTCGTAGTGTTGTTATGGTTTCCTCTTGCGCTGGAGGTTAAGCGCATTCCTGTAATCTTTCTTTCTCCCAAACTCCTTCAAACTCCATGTATTTCCGTTATATGAATGGGAATGGGGAATCTCCTCGTATCGAAAAAACAGAATTATTTTATTTTTAACTCTTTTTTCTCTCTCGAAAACATTCTGTTTTAAACTCTTACTGTTTCAAAAAGTGTTCTCAACTCATGGATATGCCATCGGATTGTTTGCATCTCTTCTACCCCGGTCTAAAATTGCTGTTGGTTTTCTGGCACAGGCTGGGTATCGGCATATTGATTGTGCTGCAGCATACAACAATGAGAAGGAGGTAGTAATTACTTGCACCCCAGTTTTCCACAACATGATTTGTACGTAACTGATTACGTTGTAGTACTGTTTAGTGCTCTCAGGATATGTATATATTTATTGACTTAATTAGTTTAGTTTTACAACATGAATATGACTCAATCCTAATTATTTGGGTACTAATATAATAAATAACAAGCATGCTATTTTATCTTAACCTTTGTTTTGACTTTTTTTTCATGTATTATGTCTCTTGGTAGAAAATTCAACTCATTGCCTTTTCAAAACAATATCAAGAGAAGAATCATACTCAGATATACTGATAAAAATCAAAAGTCAATTCTCTTATGGTGTTCACAAATCAGGTACAAGTGATAAGATGAAAAAAAGGGCGTTAGTGTAGCACAACCATTAAACGGTGAAAAAAGAGAGCATTGGAGGAAAAACCTTCTACAATTTTTCTTTTGTTTCTTTCGATTTGGAAACATATTACATATAAGCGGTAAGTAAATTTAAATATTCCTTTCATAGGTGGGCTTGGCTTTGAAGAAATTATTTGAAGATGGTGTGGTTAAGCGTGATGATTTGTTTATCACCTCTAAGCTATGGTTAGTTTTATTTCTCAAACTCTGTTGAAATAATGTTTGGATAAGTAGCTTACTAACTTCATTTCAGAGTGAAACTGTAATAATAAATTTGCTCAATTTTACAGGGCTGCTAATCACGCACCTGAAGATGTGCAAGAGGGATTTGACACCACACTTCAAGATTTGCAGCTTGACTACTTAGACTTGTACCTCGTAATGTGCCTAGACATGTCTGTGATTAACCAACAATAGAAACTAAAGTTATTGTCCAATTAGATGGACTCCATTCACTTTCGTGACTGTGAATCTGCCCAAACATTGTGATAATGAGGTGCAGTTCTCATTAAATATTAATTGCATGCAAAAAAATGTGTCAACACTAGGGATACAAAAATGATTGTTCTTTGTCTTGTATGTTTCTCATATAAGATAATCAAAGCTTCCTTTCCAGATGAAATTAGTTGAATTTACATTCTTTTGTTTCCATCTTAAGAAGCTCTCCACAACAGAAGTCTACAACTGAGATTAAAGAAAATTCCAAATACATCACTCAGTTGAACTGAGTAAATGGATCGCTAAGCTCAATTAACTGCTTGATGTGACTGCCTTTTTTTCTCTTACGGTCTTACCTTTTGCATGTTTTGGTTGCTTAAATGACCTTGTTTTGCAGATCCATGGTCCAATCCGCATCAAAAAAGGAACTAGCATGATGAGCCCTGAAAACTTTATCCCTACAGATATCCCTACTACATGGGCAGCAATGGAGAAGTTATACGACTCTGGCAAAGCTCGTGCAATCGGCGTGAGTAATTTTTCTTGTAAGAAGCTGGATGATTTGTTTGCCGTTGCACGAGTGCCTCCAGCAGTCAACCAGGTTGAGTGCCATCCGATTTGGCAGCAAGACAAGCTCCGGAAGTTATGCCAATCCAAGGGTGTTCATCTTTCTGTAAGATTGACAGAACATAACTAATATCCCTTCATTTTTTTTATTTTTTACTAATCAAGCTTCTTTCTCTAAACTCTTGCTGATAATCTGCTGTTATTTCAGGCGTTTTCGCCTTTAGGCTCACCTGGATCTCCTGGGATCAATGGGCCAAGTGTCCTCAAGAACCCCATTGTGGTCTCTGTTGCAGAGAAGTTGCAGAAAACACCTGCCCAGGTCGCTCTACGCTGGGGAATTCAAATGGGCCATAGTGTACTCCCGAAAAGCGCCAACGAATCAAGGATTAAGGAGAACATTGACATATTTGACTGGTCTATTCCTGAAGATTTGATGGCGAAGCTCTCTGAAATCAAACAGGCATGCCCTACACCTTTTTTTTTCCCTGCTAGTTTCATTTCATTGATTGTCTTCGTCTATGATTGCTACACTGTTCATGTACCAGAATAATATGCATATTTCAGTATAATGCACCACCAGTCTTTTCCTGTAGAAATGTAATGAGTGAAATCTTTGGGTACTTACAACTTTCATTCTTCCCATATGATATTCCTTCTGGTTTATAAAATGCAGGTCAGGCTGCTGAGAGCTGAGTTTGCAGTTCACCCTCAGGGCGGCTACAATACATTGGAGGATTTTTGGGATGGTGAAATATAAAAGCATACAATCTTTTTTCAGAATAAAAGAGCCAGAGGAGGAAACTATTCTGACATGGCAGATGCTTTTGCTTGGACAGCTGAGATATGATTACCTTGGTTTGGAGAAAGAACCTCAGGATAGTTGCCCCTGTTGCTATTCCTCTAGAAGCTTTATGTTTCATTGTATCCAAAGATGACTGTTCCAATTCTGACCAAATAAAGTGCAGTAACGGCATTTTCAACTTATCCTTATTTGTTTTAGAGTCTTGTGTTGTCATCAATCACCAAAAAGGGAGATTGAATGCATAGTCCCTAATTAATACGGTGAATTGGAGGTTTCTGTGATCGATGAACACAAGTAAGTATGTGTTTTGCAGTGGTAAATGCAACTGGGTTAGTCACAATGAGTGACAAGTGTCTTCGCCACAAGACTTGGTTCATTGACTGAAGCATGGTGCGATTGGGTTATCTTGACATTCCTAGCTGATGTTCTTTCATGGTTACTAGATCTCATTGTCAGCGGTGAATGGGCTTTTGCAGTCTCGAAGTCCTTATATGGGGAGGATGTTTGCACGTCTCCCTTTCCCTTACTTTCTTTTCATTGTCATTTTCAAGCTCCGACAGGAGGTGAATGGTCAAAGGAAAAAAGATGACAGTATTGGCCTTTCATGCACTTATACTTTTTAGAGCTTTTATGTTAAGTTGCCATTTTGTTTGCTAGCTACCGTTTTCCTTGACAAATATTAGATACGAGGCACTCTCTTGAGTTCTAACTAAAAGAACAGTATTACGAAAAGCAACGTGCTTCAAGAGTCAAGAAATTGGTGTTCCACCGACCCACCGTTGAAAGGAGGGGAGGGATGCGGTCCAAAATAATTTGTGCGCTACTACCAATGATGGGCCGGGGTACCAATATGCCATCCATATGGCTTCCAGTAATTGTTGGACTAAGCTCCTGCTCTACCAGATCCGGAAAGTCAGGCCTAATAAATATTCAAAAGCACAACCACTAACACCCTGCCCATACCTTCGTTGATAACCTTCTTCCAAAGCCATTTCCTCCACTCTCTGTTTTTTCTTCCTGTCCTAGGATGGCTGAATCCTTTGTTCTCAATACTGGCGCAAGAATTCCGTCGGTTGGCCTTGGCACATGGCAAATAGAGCCTGGAGCTGTCACCGACGCCATCTATGCTGCTGTTAAGGTCTTTTTCCTGGTTGTTATTCTGGCCTATTTCCCTTTGAAAATAAAGTTTCTCCAGATTGCTCATCGTTGCTTTTCTTCCTTTATTTCTAAAGTTTTGCCTGCATATGTATAAGTTGAGCTGAATCATCCTTGTTTTATCTTTATCTTGTTGAATCTGTAGACTGAGCTTTGACAAACTTACCCAGGTAGCCATCTAACTTGTTTCATTTGTTACTAAGAACTGACAGACTCTAGGTAAGCTTGCTCTTGAAGTGTTCGTATGCTACTATGCTCCAATGTTGTTTTAGCAACAAGTACAAGGCGGAAGTTTATTGTTCTTAAGTTCTAATATCTATCCATTAAATTTCTTCTCTCCTATTCCAGTCTGAAGTTTTTGCTGGCTTTCTGACACAGGCTGGGTATCGGCATATTGATTCTGCTGTAGCATACCGCAATCAGAAGGAGGTAATTAGTAATTAGTAACTCAGTGTCTACCATCGAGGTGACTGATCACCATAGCACCCCATGACCTTTTACCCCTTCCATGCTAGTACTTGTCATTGAATCATTGCAACTGATTAATAAGTTGGACTGGTTGGCACGTTCAGGATTTGTTTTTTGACTTTATGTTTTTTCGCTTCACATGAATATGACATCATTCTGTTTTCTAATTGAACAGTAAGATGTGACAAGCATGCTTTAAAATCTTAAATATAGTTTTGACGTATCACATCATCTGTTGTTGTAATCTGGTCAGCTCTTGCTACCTACCTCTTGCACCACCCTGTCCTTGTTGCAACAAGAAAGGGTATGACCGGTATGATCTTGTAGTTGTTAGAGCATCGCTACCAGATCGTTTATATTGCATTTCCTATAAGTTGCTTTAAGAGAGTACCCTAAAATCAATATAGCTATAGATACATTTGATCAATATTGCTCATGTTTATCTACTAGTCCTGCAAAGATATATTTAAGTTATATAACATTTTTTTCAATTTCTGTTGATTGTTAGGAGAAGGGCGGGCCTGGTGTAAGTGGTAGAGTCTTACCGCCTGTGACCGGAAGGTCCCGGGTTCGAGTCGCGGTCTCCACACACTGCACAGGCGAGAGTAAGGCTTTTTCACTAACACCCTTCCCCAGACCCCGCACAGAGCGGGAGCTCTCTGCACTGGGTACGGCCTTTTCCTGTTGATTGTTAGGACTTAGAAAATGAGCATAACTAAACTAGTTCATGTAGGTTTGGTTAGGGCAGATGGTAGCGTGCATCCCAACCACTCAGGTTCAAATTTCTTTGGCTTGAATATACTAGGTGACTATTTTTAAGAAAAACTGCTTAATTCCTTCTAAATTGGGTCTTTTTTTTCTTAATTCTCTATTATTAAATAAATTGGCTATTTCAACCCTTTTTTAACTTTATGATGAATCAGCATGGGTATTCCCTCAAAAAATGAATCAGCATGGGTATCCCAAGTCCTTGTAGCTAAGGAGACTTCAATACGGGAATTGTTAACCACCAACTTTGATCTCCAAATTATTTAAGTCACTTTTATCTTGCAATCTGGCCTGTTGCATTTTTATATAAACGCATGAACCGCATGCAAGATACACGAGGGAAGTTATGAAATTTCTATGAACTCATTGCCAAGGTCAAGTTGTCAGATTGAAGTTTATTCTCTTTTATAGGTTGGAGTGGCTTTAAAGAAATTATTTGAGGATGGTGTAGTTAAGCGTGAAGATTTGTTTATCACCTCCAAGCTATGGTTAGGCTTCACTTCCCAACCTTATCTCAAGCAATGATGGATAACTAGTTTATATGTTCTAAAATCAGAAACTCCGAATTTTGCAGGCCTGGTAATCATGCACCTGAAGATGTGCAGGAGGATATTGGTTCATCCCTTGAAGATTTGCAGCTTGACTACGTAGATCTGTACCTTGTAAATTCCTATTCTTGATCTTGATACCTATCAGATAATAGTTTGCCTACTGTTTACCTGCTAAAATCTGGCTTGTACTCTAAACTGTAACGACCTTATTTTACAGATTCATGGTCCAATCCGTATCAAGAAAGGAACCATGTTTATCCCGGAAAACCTTATCCCTACTGATATCCCTGCAGGATTTGCTTGCTGTTGCACGTGTGCCTCCAGGAGTCAACCAGGTTGAGTGCCATCCAGTTTGGCAGCAAGACAAGCTACGTAAGCTATGCCAGTCAACGGGCGTTCATCTTTCTGTAAGTTTCAGAGAACATATAGCAATCTAATATTCCAGCATTTGTTTTCAGTTTCCATTGGCTGAGTTTCTGCTTGTACACTTCTGGTTCTGTTGTTACGTTACAGGCGTATTCGCCTTTAGGATCAGCTGGATACAGTGGCCCAAGCGTGCTTAGCAACCCCATTGTCAAATCTGTTGCTGAGAAGCTGCAGAAAACGCCTGCCCAGGTCGCTCTGCGCTGGGGGCTTCAAATGGGCCAGAGTATACTTCCCAAGAGTGCCAACCAAAGAAGGATCAAAGAGAACTTCGACATATTTGACTGGTCCATTCCTCACGATTTGATGGCGAAGTTCTCTGCAATCAAACAGGCATGTACCAAAGAAACCTTTTCCATCAGTTGCGCGCCATTGACTTGTGGTCTATGTTTGTTACTACTTTGTTGCAGAAGAGCAATATGCATATGAAAATCTAAATCTTGTATGTTGTATTTGTACATGGATCTTTTCATGTAGAATCACAATGAATGATGGCCTCCTCTTTTTTTGAATGCAGACCTCCTCTATTTAGGTTTTCAATTTTTTCCTATCTGATATTTCTTTTGATTCGTAACATGCAGGTTAGGCTGCTAAAAGTCGAATTTGCAGTTCACCCAAAAAGTGGATACAATACCTTGGAGGATCTTTGGGATGGTGAAGTGGAATACGAAGACGAAAGAACAGAGAATCAGGACCATTCTGATTTTTTGAGATGTTTTTCATGAACAATTGAGAATATCGCCTTCGTTCTCTCCTCTATTAATTAATGAGCTCTTTTACGATGGTCAGGAAAGTACCATGGTAGCTCCTAGGTACTTTGGTTTTTCCTATTTTTTGCCTTTTAACTGTGAAAGATTATTTATAAAAATTAATTACAGTTATTTAGGGCATAATGGTAATTGACGTTTTAGCCTTCTAACGCTCGGTGTTCTGGGGTTGTTCCGTTCGGCCCAGAGGCAGCAGCCGCACCGTCCCGGTGTCCGTACGTTCGCCCCGGCAAACGCCGCCGCTGCAGCCTGCAGGCCGCAGCCTCATTCCGCTCGCCCTAGCAAGCAACTGCCAGTGTTGTTGAGTTATTGTTTGTTCACTCCTTTTTATTTGTTTCGTGCTTAACCTTTTTCAGGCCGAATGAATGATTACTTACCGGCAGGATTTATGAGGGTAGTATATAACATCAATGAGCAAGCACACGTGCAAGTATTAGCATCTTGAATTTGTTGACTGCCCATAAAACGAAAATTCAAGACCTGGCCTACGTATCTTGCTACCAGTCCTATCTATTTTTTGTACCGTCGTCCCTACCATTTTAATAGAATCAAGTACTTTCACATGGATACCTCCTATGTTTGCACCGTCCGATCCGATCGTATGGATGGTTCGTATCCTTTTTCAACCATTACAAAATTTCTCTTAATATATTTGCCTGCCAGAAGTCCTGTCAGCAATTTTTGAAAAAAAACAATATCGCCTTCGCGTGGAGTCGTGGAGAAACCCTGAGAAATAATGGCCTCTCTGTTGTTTTTCATATGTATAATTGTCGTGTTTCAAGATTATGATTATCCACATGTGACTGCTACTTCCTTAACAAATACAGTTCGAGTTCACAGTAGAGCTACAATGTGTTATCTTTTTTCTTGGACCAACTGACACTCCGTTTCTTTTAATGTAGCAGAAAATACAAGCAAATAACCCTGGGAGACTACCTACAGGAAACAACAACAACAAAAACTAAAAACTCTTACTCTGTTCGCTTGGCTGATAAACCATGGTTAAAAGTACTATTGACTGTTTTATTGTGAGAGAAATATTGTGACTGAAATAGTACGACTTATAAGCGAAAAACAGGACCTCTGTGGATAACAACCACACACACACAAAACACGGTCAATGCAAACTCAACAACCTCTATCAACATCGGCAGCCGCCACATCAAACCTCCACTGCAATAACTTGTTTAGAAGTTTTTTCACACACACACACAAAACACGGTCAATGATAAAAAAAACTCAACAACCTCTATCAACGATCTTTTGAGCCTAGTTAGGCTATGATTGGCAGCCGCCACATCAAACACCCCACTGCAACCTTAAGCCACTTAAACCATAGTCCTCGCTCACATCTCACGCCTTCTATACTGTGGTCGTTGAATACCCCAACCTTGGCTTCGCAACATTAGAAATCCAAGAGAAGTAGACAGCACCACACCAACAAGAAGGCTGCCGCTATGCGGGACCCATTGCCATAATGCCACTGTAATGACTCTACAAACCCAACTGACAAAAGGATTCCACATCTGTACTTCTTCAAAGTTGCTTCGCATTCGCCACCACGAAAACACAAAACACAACATGCCTCGTTTGGGGCTTGGTTAGTTTACAAAATTTTTGGTGAAATGGCCCTGTAGCATTTTTGTTGTTATTTGATAATTAGTGTCCAATTATAGTCTAATTAGGCTTAAAAGATTCGTCTCGTAAATTTTGTCTAAACTGTATAATTAGTTTTATTTTTTATTTATATTTAATGTTTCATGCATGCGTCTAAAGTGACGGGAAATCTTGAAAAATTTAGCATTTTGAGAGGGAACTAAACGGTACCTTGGTAGGCCTTCTTGAGAAGCTTGATGCCTTTTAGAAGTCTTACCATTATACCAATTGTGTTTTGCAAGATTATCCTTTGTAAACACCAATGATTAAGGGTTCTATACTTTGCTTTTTATCTGACATAAAAAAACTTAGCATATTAACATTATTTGGTCACTTCCTTGGTAAGACTTTAGCCAGATGTTACTGTGTAAAAAATTAGAGCCATGCTAGCGCTCGGACTCCTGCACACCCGCGTGTTGTTGTGCCTGGTGACTTGCTATGCCTGCCCCTGTGCTTCGCGCCCCACGCCTACTACTGCTGGGTCCGCACATGCTGCTCCTATGCCTGCTGGCTTGCTACACCCTGAGCGTGCTGCTGCTGTGCCTGCTCGCGTGCTTCGCGCCCCGCGCCTGCTGTTGATGCTAGGTCTGCACGTGTTGCTCCTGCGCTGCACGGGAGAGCATGTGCGTGGAGTCCGCCCAGGTGCATGCGAGAGAGGGTGGGAGTATAGCGTGCATACCTGTGTTGACCCGACTACATGCTCCACCCCGGGGACCAAGCTTGGTGGTGCAGGGGGCGCCTAATTCTGCATCCGTTGGGTGCTGGCCTGCTCTGGCACTCTGCATGCGCGTATACACTTTGGCCTGAGAGTGCTCAGCCATTTTGGCACTGAGCGCCCATTGCGTGCACGTCCGACTATCAGAGCTGGCCCGCATGACAGAGATAGGTAGCGCTGGATGGGTACGTGCAGCGCATGCGTGCCCACGAGTCAGCGCGTGGGGAGCAGCACCTGCTGCAACATACTAAAACTAGGTGAAACAATTGAAACATATGTTTGCAACATATGTGTATATCCACTACAACATATGCAATATCCAGATAAAACACTTGCAACATACGTCTGAAATAGGTGAAATATTTGGAACATACGCGTATAGCCACTGCAACATATGCAACATCCAGATGAAAACATGCAACTTCCAGATGAAACGGTTGAAACATTTGGAAAACAGACTTGCAACAGACGTGTATAGCCACTTGCAAACATATGCAACATTCAAATGAAACACTTGTAACATACGTTTCAAACAGCTGAAACATTTAAAACATACACTTGCAACACACGTGTATAGCCATTGCAACATATGCAACACCAGATCTACTTTTGTAATATCCAGATAAAACATATGCAACATACATCTAAAACGCACAAAACATACAGTTGCAACATGTGCTTATCTATTTACTGCCGCCCAATGAAGGCTCGTTGATACGGGTGCGGGGAGCGTGCGCGAGGCACGAACGGCGTGCGGTACGAGGCATGCGACACGAGGCGGTTTTGGCGTGAGCCACGAAGCGGGTCTGGCGTGAAGCGCAGGGGCGCGCGGCACTAGGTGGTTCCGTCCCGGTGGAAGCATCCAAATTTTTTTTTCTAATAATGGGCTTGTCAAATCTAGTCCTCGGACCCAGCGAAAGCGGTAGAGGGCATTACTGCAAAAGTTATGTATATATCTCAGTTTCTCAATAAATTGGCTTCACCTTTTCTAAAAAAAAAAGCTGCTCGTAACACAAATGACTGATAGCTGGTTGAGGTTAGCTATCTGTATTCTGATAACTATATCAAGTTGCAATGATCGTCGCATATATTTTTATCATAGCTTTAACTCATGACTCTTTGAGATGGATTCTCAAAAAAATTGGGGTGCAGGCGTCCTGCCACATGACTTGACCTACCAGCTACCAGGCTCAACTGCTCCGCGTCCAACCACCGTCGTTCAGAATGTCCTCCTCACACATTTGGTGAGTTCAAAATCCACAATGTTTTTTCTGGCAATTGTAGAAGTAGCTAAGTATAGGTATCTTCATCCTGCCAAGCTCCAGCAACAAAGGCTACCTGCTATTATACTTTCGCTGTTCAGTTTGGTCTCTGGATCGGAGGGCGGCGTAGATAGATGGCCAAGTCCTTCCTCCTAAACACCGGTGCTGCTATCCCATCAGTTGGCCTTGGAACATGCCAAATATCACCAGCTGTTGTCGAAGATGCCATTCGTGCAGCTCTCCAGGTCTTGTCACTTCTTGCTTATGTTTAGATTCATTATTACTTATGGTCTTTTCCTCTTTTGTTTTCTTCCTTGTAGTTGTGGATTCAATTGAATCTAACGTAAGAATCCTTTATTGTTCAACTGGAGAACATGTTGGTTTATCATCCAGTTAACCCAATATGTTAATGGAAACTGTGAAAGCATAAAGTTTAGTTTCAGAGCCCTTTACTATTTTGTGCCAATTTTAATTGCACATGAACGGAAGGTATCAGGTTTTAATTGCATAGCATGTCATATGGGCTTCTTTTGTTTGGATGTAATGTTTCTACTTGTAATAGTGCAGGTAGGTTATCATCATATTGACTGTTCTCCACAATATGGTAATCAGAAAGAGGTAATAACTTTTAAGCCCTTTTTTTGCGTCTAATAAAGAGCCCTTGAAACAAACATGCTACTAGTTTGTGTTAGTCTTTAACGTCAGCAGTCAGCTTACGACTTACTCCCTCCGTCCCACAAATAGTGTCATTCTCACTTTTCGAGAAGTCAAATATTTTCAACTTTAACCAATATATATAAGAAAATGTTAATATTTATGGTGTATAATTAGTATCATTAGATGAATCACATGTTGAATATATTTTTATAATAAACTTATTTAGAGATACAAATGTTGCTAATATTTTCTACAAACCTAATCAAACTTAAGAAACCGCCACGAATCACATAGAGACTCTCTTTTTAGGATAGAGGGAGTATGTAACAAGTATTAAGATAAACAAGAACAGGTTAACAGAGGCAGATGGTAATGTAGAACAAAGTAGCATCGCACAGATGGAAAAGGACCAGCTTAAGAGAAACTAAGCGTTTTTTTATTAAAAATAAGAAATTTTTTACAATAATTGGGAAAAAATTCAATGGCTGACATCGACCGAGAGCGGCCAATCCGACGGCAACAAAGGTAGGAGGCAACGGGAGGCGATTGCTGTGTCTATGATCGGTGGGCCATATGCCCAAAAATCGCCTTCCATTGCCTCCGCAAATGTGGGGATTAGGACTGGGCGGTAATTCCATTCTCGTAGTTTTTTTTATAAAGGGTAAAACGGTAACTCTATAAATGCAAAAATAATGTTTTGAGTAATATAGTTAGGATGGATAATACAATTAGTATAGTTAGTTAAATGAATATGTCGTTTACTTCTTCTAGGGTTCCACCACCGCCGTCCTGCGAGCCGCCGCCGCCGCCGATGGGAGGAGGCCGGGAGCAGGGCAACGGGCCACCCCTACCCCTCGTTCCTCCTCGCCGTCATCCGCTCGGGCGTCGCCCTCCTCCTCGCCGTACTCCGCTCGGGCGCCGCCCTCGGTGTTCGTCCATGGTGGAGCAAGAGGAGGCAGGAGAGGATGGAGGCCATGAAACCTAGATCCAAGTGCGCCATGAGGAGGAGGCACCGGCGCCGACACCGACGCTAGTGCTGGCGTGCTGCACACGACCAAGGGCAGGTTCGACACCGCCGCGGTGCTATCTGCAATGAGCAGGGCAAGCGGTCGCTAGGGTAAAGTAAGAGGCGGTCAGGCGATGGCGATGGCGAGCGCGGCGATCATGAGGGGCGGCGGCGGTGGCGGTGGTGGTCGGGACTCAGGCGATGCGAAAAGTAGGGCGAAGTCGGATTGACGGCGTCGGGCGCGGATCGGGGAGGGGGCGCGGCGAGTAGTGATATGCACGTGAAATGACCAACATACCCTTTATGATGATAATTAATATTTTATGAAGGCATTGGGAGACAACGCGAGGCAATTTCAGGTACTGTAAAAGGGCTCTAAAAATAAAATAGACACTCAAATTCAATTTGAAGAGGACTCGAATATGGTTGTGTTTGTATGCATGATCATACCATTGATGTAAGAATCTTGGCTATGGAGTGCCAGACATTATTCTTCATAGGAAGACTCTTCACTTCTCTACGGCGGGTAGTTATTATGACTTTTTTGGTAGGTTGGTTTTGCCCTGAGGAAACTATTTGAGGATGGTACACTTAAACGTGAAGATCTATTCATCACTTCTAAACTGTGGTATTTTATCAACCTTGTACTTCCAGATGCTGTGATGCCAAGTGGATTCTTGAAGATGCTCTGATTTTTTTCAGGTGCACTGATCATAATCCAGAAGACGTTCCAGAGGCGATTGATAACACACTACAACATCTGCAGCTTGATTACTTAGATCTTTACCTAGTAAGTTCCAAGCCTGCAGCTTGTTTAACTAATCCTAGTTCTTATACTTCTATTTAACTGAAAATTGTGCTACTTCAAGCGATTTTATGGTGTTCTTTTTTTGATCGAAAAGGCAAGAGCTCTATCAATTAAGAAGAAAAAAAGTTCAGTACAAGACAAGCCACACTCGTTTATCCACAATTCTTTCGAAGAGTGCATTCTAAATTCTTTAAATTTTGACATTCCTCGTTTCTCCACAATTCTTGACTGATCGCTTCACAGGTCCATGGTCCAGTTCGTGCAAAGAAAGGAACTAGGCTGAGCACCGAAAACATCCTCAGGCCTGACATCCCTGCTACATGGAAAGCAATGGAGAAACTGTACGACTCAGGCAAAGCTCGTGCCATTGGCGTGAGCAATTTCTCCTGCAAGAAGCTGGAGGACTTGCTCGCTGTCGCACGTGTGCCACCAGCAGCCAACCAGGTGGAGTGCCACCCAGTTTGGCAACAAGACAAGCTCCGCAAGCTTTGCCAGTCGAAGGGCATCCACTTATCTGTAAGTTCCACTCCTATTTCAGATCCTTCGTGAACCTGATGACAAACCTAATTGGTATGTTCTTGCAGGCATATGCACCACTAGGTTCGCCTGGATCGCCAGGAAATGACGGACCGGACGTCCTTAGCCACCCCACTTTGATTTCCATTGCCAATAAGCTGCAGAAAACCCCTGCCCAGGTTGCTCTTCGCTGGGGTATTCAGATGGGGCAGAGCGTGCTCCCGAAGAGCGACAATGAGGCGTGGACGAGGGAGAACATTGACCTGTTTGATTGGTGCGTCCCTGACGACTGATGGCGAAGTTCTCCGAGATCAAGCAGGCATGCCACGAATCCTAATTTTGGTGTGTCCTGATGAGTTCGTAGCTAAAAACCTGCCATTCATCGTTTCTTTGCCTGCTTCTGTTTGAAAAATAATTGCAGGCCAGGCTTTTCAAGTACGAGTTCGTGACTCACCCGACGAGCTTTTACAAGTCCGTGGAGGATTTCTGGGACGGCGAAATCTGAGGAGACCAAATGTATCTCCCCGATTCTTCGAATGCTATAGAACATTGCCTCCAATCTCTTGGTTGGAATGTTTTCCATAACGATAATGTTACGAGCAGGACGTCCGACGCCACCGACTCACTCCGGACGGACGCGTGGCGTGATATGCACCACAACTATAACTCCTTCCGTCTCTTATTCTCATCTTACTCCGCTCGGCCTTCTCCCCACTGCGCCCTGACCCTGCGCCACTCGCTCCTTGCTCTCGTGCCACCACGCGCCCCACCTACGCCGCTCGCTCCTCGCTCCTCTCCCATACCAGTCGCGCACCCCACCCGCACCTTGCTCCTCTCTTCGGCCGTGCGCTACGCCACCAGCTCCCTCTCGTAGCACGCGCCGCTCGCCAGGCTAAGCCAAGGCCAGTGCTAGTGGCATTGGCTGGTGGTGGTATTCGCGCGCGCCGCTGGTATTCGCGTGCGCCGCCGCTTGCTGTCGGCTCTGATCCGACGGCTGGAATCGACCGGCCCATGCTTTTCCTTCCCTATGTTGTAAATGTATGTTTCAGGTGTTTCAGTCGCTTCAAAGATATGTTGCAATTGTTTCTTACGGATGTTACAAAAGTAGACTGGGGATGTTGCACATGTTGCATATAGTGTAGATGTTTCAGAGGCATGGTGCAAACGTTTGTTCAAAATATTTCATTTGTTCCAAGCGTATGTTGCAAGCATTTTGATCTAGATGTTTACATGTCTCACACATATGTTGCAACAACATGTTCCGTATGTTTCATTTATTTCAGACGTATGTTGCAAGTGATCTATCTGGATGTTGCATATGTTACAATGACTATGTTGTAAGTGTATGTTTCAAATGTTTTATCTGTTTCAATCGTATATTGCAACTGTTTCATTTGAGTGTTGCAAAAGTAGATCTCAATGTAGGGTTGTTTAGCGAGGAGCCATGGTGGCGTCGGCTGTAAGCTGGAGGTAGCGCTCTACCGGAGGACGTGCAGGCATCCACGCTGGTGCACACGGCCCGTTCCGTACAACATGCTGCCTCCGCTGGCCCCGCGGATGTCCTGGAGCAGAAGCTTGTAGCATCTTCCCGCACGACAGAGATGCAGAACCTGGCTATGGAGGTGATGTGGGCACGACGAAGTTGGAGACCCCTCCGAGCACGGTGAGCGAGCGGACTCACCTGTTACGCGGGCTCGACGGACGCTCTGTTGCGCAAGGGACTAGACAGGGTGCAGCGGAGCTGCGTCCGGACACGGGTTTAGGCCCAAACATCCAGACGCTAGTTATTCCTTTTGCATAAATATAATTGCCAAATGAATCATGAATCTTTGTCACTCACTTCGATGTAGTGCTGAACTGTCGATCAAATTGAAGGAAAAGTTTCCCTCCTCCGTACCAATGTCCATTTCTTCCTCGATGAACACGTCCCTGGTGTCACGGATCACCTGTTCCACGCCGTGCGTGCGTACGGTCGCCGTGAGCGCTTGGCCGCCGGAGACCGGAGCGCTGCTGTCGTGGCCATTGACGCATCATACTGGCGGCGTTTGGGGTACGACTTTTTTTTTTTTTTTTTTGAAACTACGACTCTCTTTTTTTTTTGCAGAGTTTGGGGATACGGCTCGACACGGCGTGCAACTCGCCCACCACAGCGGGCCATTTGTATCTTTCAATCCGGGCCGCCAAAAAACAACCGATGGCCCAACAACCCAGCAATTCTGCAACTGCTAGTGACCATCGTCTGGGAGAAGGAACCCTCACAAAACCCCCGACGAATCGGCGATGGCCACCTCCGCCGCCCTCCGCCGCGCGCCCTGGGCGTCGGCGGCGGCGGCGGCGCGCGGTCTCCTTGGGGCCATGAGTGGCTGTCGGGTCCCTCCTCCCCATCGCCTTCCATACCGCGCTGAGCGCTCCGCACTTCTCTCCTCCCTCTCGGCCGCCCCGCAGCCGGGCGCCGCTGCCGATGCCCACCTCATCCGGGTCATAAACTATGAGATCTCCTGCGCCCAACAAGACTGCAAGAAGCGCGACTGGGTAGACCCTGCCATCTCTTTATTGTCCTTCCGTTTTGGATGCTCCTTCCTCACAGTTAGTGGTCGGATACACAAATTGCAACCCAAAAAATAATCCCAGAGGGAAAATTTCCGTATTTTGAGGATGCGGTGAGATAGTTTTTGTAGAAATTGTATCCATGGTGGGTTTGTTCTCTCCTTTACAGTTGATGATTATAGGGTTGCATATGGCGAACTGTTTCGGAGAGGATTTAGTACTTTTTAGTGTTGATAGCATGGGGTTACAGGAAGATATCATCTCTTAGATCTGGGGATGTAATATTTGATTGTGTTCTTTCAGGCGAAGGAATTAGGGGAGTGGTTCCCTTTTGAGATCCAGGATAAGGAGGGTACCACTAGGATAATTCTCACCAGGAGAGATCAGAAGGAGCAAATTGAAGTGGAGGTGTTCTTGCCGAGCGCTGCCGATCCAGTGGAGCACAATGGTGAGCAGAAGGATGATACAAAAGATGACAACAGCCAGGATCATGCTATCAATGGTCCTGCGAATCAGTACTATATCCCGCTGGTGGTGAAAATTCACAAAGGGATGGCTTCGTGGCTGGAGATCAGCTGTAGGTCTTACCCTGATGAACTTGCCATTGAGAGCTTGGCGTTTGGACCGACGGACAAGTCTGTTGATTCATCAAATGTTGAAGCTAAGATATGGTGAGCATTGGCACCTGTACCATTGTACTGTGATGTTTTCTAGTCTCATGTTGCAGTTTTACTGATCATGGCCTTAAATTCTTCTGCAGTAATCTTCCTGAGGAACTTCAGCAAGCATTTTATGCCTACTTGAAAAGTAGAGCCATTTCGTCAGATGTTACCAATTTCTTGCATGCGTACATGATAAACAAAGAGTGCCACGAGTATCTCGCTTGGCTGAGAAAACTTAAGGGTTTGATTAAAAGTAAATGAAGTGCAACAGAAGTTCCTTATTTTATACAGTTTTGGACAAGTTTCCTTCCATCAAATCTTGAGGCCCCCTTTCAGTGGCATTGTGTTGTCTGAGATAAGTAGGAGGTGGGGAGGTACACTGCTATAAATTCACCATTTATGGTCATGTATGTGAATGTTGGTGTCCTTTGCTTCTTCGCTTATGGTTTTCATTGACAAGATTCTGTGTTTGGACTGTTACAAGATGTCTTATGGTTCATGCCTAGCAGCTAGCAGCATGCCGAACCACTTCATCATCTTGCCCCCACGGGCCACGGCTCCACCGAAGCTAGCAAGCATGAACCCTGGATCTGGACGACATTAGTGCTTGCTAAACCTTTTGGACCTCTGCACTCAACGCCTTGTTCGCTTTGGTTTGTTTGGTGATAAGCCATGGCTAAAAGTATTGTTGGCTGATTTGGTGTGAGAGAAAAAATACTATTTATTGACTGAAAAAGTACGGTTTATAAACAAAACAAACCCAACGAACATGGTTGTTTGGGGTCTCTTGGCACCTCTTTAGAGCGCACACCAAAGCTGCCCCAATTGTTGTAAAAAAAAAAGCTGCCCTAATGGAAGAATTTTCAACTTCTGTGAATTCTACCGCTGCCTGTCCTGATTGTTTATTTGGGTGATTTTTTTTTTTTTTTGCTTCAACTATACTTTCAGGCTAGAAAGTAGAAACCCTACCCGGTTTCTCAGCTCTGTGCACAGCTAGCATCCATCGTAACTAGTTATGCGAAATCATGTTGTCAGATGGACGTTACAAAACCGGATGAGATCTACTAGCACACAAATACACACTAGAGATCATGAGAATACTGTTACCCAAGAAAGGATTGTTTGCAAATCAAAGTGCAGGACCATGCACGTTCTCACTGAGCAACGTGGGAAGACTTTTTTGGTGCCAAACTCAGTAAACTCTGTAAGGCACGCAGTAAAATTCTGTTCACTAGCTAGCTAGAGAAGAACTTGCAAATTAGCCACTTCAAATGAAGAATGCCCAAGGCACAACAATCTAGGGTCAATATGTATGTCAAGTTGTCGAATAAAACTGGTCTGTCTGCCTTTGCCCTTTCGGAAGATGTTTTCCAGAACAAGCAGTGGACAAAGAGCGCATCAGGTCACCTGCCAAAAACAAGATTTTCGTTTTCAGAATCCAAAGCCTCAATTAAGCAATGGCAGGGAAGGAGGGTACTGGGGCGTAAGAAAGAGGCAGACCTTTGCAAAGTCAACAAGCAAACCTCAGGCAAAAAAGAAAACTTTGATGAACAGTGCCAGAGCAAATTGCAGCACTGATGCACTAGCCATCAGAACCATCAGATCAGCTCCTTCAGTGCATTCCTTCAAATTTAAAGCGATGAACCAAGATGATGCACCACCAGCAAGAGCTATGATGACCCATCGAAGAAATTCCACAGGAATAAGCAAAAGTACCTTAACCAGACAAAATAGGAGGGCAATTCATGTTAACATGGCACCCTTCATCCCGAAGAACAAAAGTGAGTTCCAAGTGGTCACAACCATGATAACAACATGGATTATTTACACTAAGAGAATCAATTTTTAGAACCATTATATATAATTGCAAGATAGAGATCTGAAGATTCCTATGGATGTATATAATGTTAAAATTGAATGTCCGCATGTTCTTGCCAGTGATATAAATAACGAAACGAACAGATGGAACTCGAATACTTACAGATCCAGGTATGAAGACAAACAGAGAATAGCCCCACATACACCAAAATCGAACAAGACTTTGGCGCGATCCAAAATACTGAAACAGGAAAAAGAACATGCCGGGCACAATGACAGCATAACCATACATGACTGATGCTGCCCAACTGAAATAACCAACATCAAAGTTCCATATGTCCAGATCGTTTTTATTTTGCATCAGATAAGTGGCATAGTTACCAAACGCAGCTAGCATGAAAACCAGAGTAGTGGTGATCCATAAAGGCCCATACCTGCAGAAATTAGAATAATTCATAACACAAGAGAATGTGGAGGCAAGAGATCCAAATGATCAATGAAGTACAAAAGAAACTAAAATTTGCGGCAAGATTTAGTCAGACGGTAATCCAGCAAGCACCTTAACTTTACAAAAAATTGGATCAAAATCTGTTCAAAACACTGTGTTGTCCAGTTCTCCCAAAACTATGCTGCAGAAAATAAACACTACAATCTGTATAATGCCACTCAGGCACTATATTTTCATATACTCTTGTAAGAACTCTGCAACTATCCTATCTGAATCATCATCTCGTGCTATTATCAGTAAATAAACAGTGAAGTGTTGAAACAGATTCATAATATGCATCTTGTACAACTTACGACATATCTTTCCATATTATAACGATGCTTGGTTATAATGAAAATATCATTTAATGCACATTTTTATCACATGATTGCATATTAGACTATTCACTAGAAATGTTGACATCAAAACAACAGAAAGGTAACTAAGAGCCAGGTTTTGTTTTAGAAAATGATTCAGATGGCAGATCTTGTCCATTAGGAGAAACTTACATGTCAGGATTAGCATCAATTTTCCTGTAAAACCCATCCATTGGATAAATTGAACTGATGAGCCTGTCAACTACAACATCAGTATCAACATTGAAGTATGGAGCATAAGATGCAACATTGAAGTATCCTTTCCAATCTGCTTGGTTTTCTACATCTCCATCTGAAAAAGTAAAGAGAGACTTCAGTATGGAACAATGCACATACAAAAACAAAATCAGAATTATATTCAATAGCTGACATTAAGCAAAATCCATTCATTTATACTCATCAAAATAGAACAGTGCCAAGGATCAAAATTCAAAGCAGTGAAAGAAACAATAAAACGACTCTCTGGTGCCTTGCTTCTAGTTGAGATGGTTAGAATATTAGACCATCATGGTTACATGTTACAGACTTCTGAAAAATAAAATGTATAGGAATTTAACATGAATGATTAATGGGAGGCATGGTTCATCAAAAGTGCAACATAATTGTCACTTCATGCAAGTCACAATACTTAGTGACTTATTCAAAAGTTCAAGTAAAGGTTGTTCTCAATTATCAACCATCTACAAGATAAAAATCGCATCACAAGTTTCTAATTATGTGGCTTCTACAACAGTAGCCTTTAGCATGCCCCGAAAATAAAGCAGTACAGGACTGATGTTGCCACATTTAAGAGGCCATTTACCTACACTACATACAATGTATTCATTCAAAATTTCTGACGTAAAGAGAGAATGTTTCTACTAAGCTAAGAACATCAGGATATTCTTCTTAAATTCTCCTAAATCCACAGTTCGCATTTCGATATGGTTCAATAAAGACGCAAGTGGGTACCCAATGGTGTTTTGTGGGTCAGCCAACTTAATTCATTTCTCCCCTAAATTTAATGAGATGGCATGCAATTCTAGTTCATTTTAGCAAGTTTTGGGTTGACCCAATGACCCAAAACATGTGGAGCTTGTGTCCCCATGGTTCAGGTTCAAATGTAACCTCATATAACAACCGACTTGCACAATAATATACCCAGTTATCCGCACTCACCAATTAGGTACCGTGTGCAATTGTGCATCCATAGTTAGATCAATTCGAAACTCAAACAAAATACTGCAGAACGTGGTGACAATTGGCATCAACATTAATTACCTGCAGGACCACCTGGTGGCCGATACCCTCCTCCATTACCACCAGGAGCAGGCGGGAACTCTTGCAACCGAGAGGTGGCAGCTGCATCTGCAACCGAAAATTAATTAGTGACACTCACAAAAAAAAAACAGCAACACACGCGCCCGCACCAATTCACAGTTTCACAACATGCCACAACCTTGGGCGGTGGGGGGACTGGGTTTCCTGTCGTCCTGTGTCACAGCCTGCAGAAACAAACCACCCCAGATCAGCGACTATCCCTAACGAAACGAGAGACGCGGAGAAGCGAGTAGGGATTGCATCGGTACGGGGACGGAGCCGAGGAGGTGGCTGGTGGGGAGGTTGGCGTAGCCCTCGTCCATGGCCGGTGGCGTCGTTTGCGCTCGCTCCTCTCTCAACAGCTGCGCATGGCCGCGGCGCGCGTTCGCCGGATACGGGATTGGGATCGGAGTGGTTTGGGGGGACAGGGGGAAAGGGGGCAAAAAGCCAGAACCAGAAGGACTCTGCCGTGGAAGAGGGGAAGTCGTCGTCCAACGCCCTCGTGCAGTCGTGCTCGGTGTTGCTTCGGAACGAAGGCGGGTCACGAGTCTGGTACAACGACGACGTCGGCCCAACTAGCAAAAGGCCCACCAAGAATTGGAGTTAGTAAACCCTTTTAGGTCCCGTTTGGATGTATAGTTTCCCGCCCAAAACCATTGTAAAATTATAGGCCCATAAAATTTAACAACCCACACTTCAAAATGTTATTTGGATGGATGGTGAGCCCACTAAATTTACTCCTCTATTGGATCAAAACCGTTGAAAAAAATATATTATTGCCTACGGGAGGTCTGGAAAATTATACGAGAAATATCGGGCTCGACTCGTCCCAACGCCTCGACTCCTCTCGCTCGACGCCTCTCGACTCGCTCGCCCGAGGCGCCGCGACTTGGCGGCGGCCGGAAGATCCAGAAGCGATTCATCGGAGGCCGATCCAGACGCGATTCATCGGAGGCAGGCGCTGACGACACACGCGAGCGCATAACGTGTGGATCCACGGCGAGAGTTGATCTGCAGCAACAAGCAAATCCATGGCGATGGTGAGTCCCTCGTTTTTCAGGTGTCTTCCCTCTTGATCAACATCTCTCCTTGCTTTCTCTGTGCACTGATAAGTGCTGGGCTCGTTTTTTAGGTATCTTCCTCTTGATCCTCATATCTCCTTGTGTTCTGTGTGATCTCTGATACCTGCTGGACTCCGACTCATGCAATTTCCCTTGTGAAAATGAGCAAGATCCAGTGATCTTAGTACAAGGAAAACATAGATCGGTACCATAGCTGAC